TCACCAGCTCCTATCAGGGTGAGTGTATCCCATATTTCCTTGGCAGAGGTGCACTTCTTGATTCTTGTGAAGTATTTGTCATCTATGGCTTAATAGAGGATGTCCTTGGCAATGTTGTCAAGGTTGTATTTCCTCCTCTCTTCATTAGACCACTCATGACGCAGTTTGGTGATCATCTGAGGTAGACCACCACCAATAGTGTATTCAGGATTGACCTTGGTGAACTCTGTGAAAGGACCAGCATCAAGGACTTCCCACATTTCATCATGGAGTGCGCAGAGGTGAGCTTTCATGCGAATCCTCCAGTCATCAAACTTAGTCACTGAAAACATAAGATTCTTTGAAAGAGTGTTATCCATAATATGAGATTAAAGAGGCTAAAACAAGTGGATCTCTTGTTCATCAAGCAACCTAAAAGATTACAAGAACGAGGAGGCTCTGATACCACTTGTTGGTCCCCTTTATAATGGGAACAGTCTAGAGGGGGGGTGAATAGACTGTTCAGGATTTTTCAAACTTTTCTCTAAGTCACTACTGACTTATCAGAGATGGTCGAATTCCGGTGACAGAGAAGGTCAAGTTCTGATGGCAGAACTGGACCTGGCAGCGGATTGGTTTCTGTCCGGGTAGCCTCCGAAAACACTAAGGCAAATGCCTTTCTGATAACTCTTAAGGGAGATCTGCTGAACACAGAGTCCAACCTTTTGAGTTAAACAGTCAAGATCTTAAGTGCAGAATTAAATGTGTAAAGTAAATGACACCGGGGATTTTTATAGTGGTTCAAGGAACAACGTGTTCCTCTAGTCCACTGTTCCACTAAGCTTGCAAAAACAACAGTTTACAACGCCTTAGTCCCTAAAACTTAAGAAGCACTCCACGTCTTCTTCAATCCTAGTTGCCACCCGGGATGCAGTCCTGCTTCCTGATGGCTGGTCTCGTTTCACTGAGTCTCTTGGAAGTATCCTCACTTCACTTACTCCAGTTAGTTTGAGACGTCCCTTCTTTTTCAAGAAGTGTTTGATTCAAGATCAGTTTTCTCCAACGTTGCTTCTTCATAAAGGATGTGTAGATGATGCTTTCGAAGTGTTGAAGAACTGAGGAACTTTGCTACTTTTTAGTTGGATGAAGGATATGAAAATATATCTTCCAACTTAAGCTTTTCTTGTTGAGGTAAGTGAGTTTTTTATCTCAAGAAAGTTTGAAGATTTTTTGGTTCTGAGCAAATAGGTTGAGCAAAGTTTTAGAGCAAAAGTTGTCCTGGTAGTTCTTCAAAGTGTATCTTATATACTGGGAGCAGTCTTCCCGTTGGAGTGTAGAAGACAGCTTCAATAAATGCTTGTACTGTTGATTTGACCGGTTGGTCCTTCGACTTGCTATTTTGGGGGCGTGAAGATACCCGCATGGTCAATCATCAGCTTTAAATATATCTTCGTACGTACATCATTAATTGAGCATTTAATGCGTGTACAGTACTATGTTTCCGTCGAATGGCTCCTAGCCGTTAAAGGATTTCCCGTTAGTTTCACGGTCGTTTGTAAGTGCCTTCGAATTCTGCTAAGTAAGAGCAAGTCTGATGAGGCTTTCTGATCCGAACTTTTATGACTGCCTCTGATGCCAACTCTGGTACCCAACTCTGGTAGCTTCTCTGGAGAGCAACTCTGGGAGCAACTCTGGTGAGCAACTCTGGGAGCAACTCTGGTAGATGTTCTCATCAAGAAGACCAAGAGGGTTTCTGGCATGTCGACTATGCTAATACTTACAAAGAAATTTTTCTAATACAAAAATTCTATAGGGGTACTTTCAAATTCTAATAAACCTAGCATCATCAAAATCTAATTACATTTATTCCTTACAGTCTGCATATCAAGCATCACTGATTTCGAAAGGTATGGCTTATTGGATGGATCACCGTACTCATGTTTGATAAGTTCGGCAATAATCCTAGACGTAGCCTGATAACTACTTCGCTGATGTACATCAATGGGGCATGTGTGATCAGAGTCAAATCTGGGAAAAATTTGGGCAGTACAGTGGATAATAATTTAATGCACAATATTCGAAATAAAAATAATCAAAAAATTGAATGCATATGGAATAGCAAATAAAAATGTATGATGACATAAAAACAGTAGCAATTAAAATATATTTTGGCAATGTACACAATTAAATAACGTAAACACATAGGGGAAATGCAGTACATATTGTTTAAATTGTGGAGATGACATGAAAGTGTATGATGAAATACACATACGTGACATATGTATTCATTAATTTAAACTGTGGAGAGGGCATTAAAACTGAAGAATGAAATGCTGTACAAAAAAGGCATTATATGGAAATAAAGTATATGCCAGTGGTATAATAGTGATTTTATTTTCCTTAAATATTTTTTTTAAAAAATAACAAAACAGTGACCCCATACTCATAGGACAATGGAAAAAGAATTATGATATACATTAACATGCACACAAAACGTAATGCAAAAGTTAGGGGATTGTAACAGTTGCACATAGGGCATTAATATATATGCCCAGATTATAATACTGATATTATTTTCCTTCAATCAAATTTTTTTAAAAATAACAAAACGGTGTCCCCATAAATGAACGTCATCGGTCATTAGCTTTATATGTCGTTTCCAATGCACAATTAAGTTTTTTAACTAATATTACGTAGAGCAGTAATAGACATGCATGTCACGTAAATTAATAGAAATGGGTGCATACGTTTTGACCTGGAACAATGAGACTCCGTCGATACGCACACCACGCACAACCCACTTGCACTCGGGGTCAACACACACAACATGCAAAACCTTCGGGGAAGATGTCTTTGTTCTATACTGAAAGAAGTTGGTAATGTCTTTAAGTGAAAATCAAGTTCCTTCTTGCTTCCATAGATGCTATTGAATGCAATGCGCGTAGGTTCAGAATGATTGACTACAGGCATATGATGAATCTCTTCATCAACCAACGAATTTAACCTCGTAATTTCAACACTCGAAATGTGGTCAAATTCAAAGTCCATATCAACATTGTGACTGAAATTATTTTCTTCGTCACGAAATCCACCACGCTCTTCCAGATTACTCGTGTGGTTAATTCCACTTTCATTGTGAATACCCGGAAATACTATGATGCTTTGTTCCTCTCCAGTGGTAGAAGAAATCTCCTCACCGGATACAAATTCAACACACAACGGCATTTGCATCGGGTCTTTTTGAAAACTCTTCAATTGTAGATAAAAGAGTAGATTAGCGTCATCACATACATTCACGGGAGGTGGGCACGCAGCCAAAACGTATGAGATCTTAATATTCTTTTCGGAATAATTCTCACCCATAACAGTGCAAACACGAGAATATAGAGAATCGTACATAAAATTTGATGGTATGGTTAAGCCGGCAACATGAATACTAGAGAAAAAAGTATTTGAGATCCATTGGCCATCATATTTAATCATAATCCACATTTCCGGGTAACCTGTGGGGACGGAATTCATGGATAATGTTTCAATAAAATTCTGGCAATGAAATGGTAGAACTTCGTGGAAGAAGACCGTCGGGTGATAGGAATAGGGATAAAAAATAATGAATATACTTACCTTCTATTAATTATTTCCATATTTTTAGGATACTCTCATTACTAATTCGCCGGTTATGCGCAAGTCAATTATGATGCAGACGGTTATGCTCTATCATACGTGATATTAAGCTTCGCCAGAAATTTAGGTATTGACGAACACTATTGGCATTTAAAAGAATCTTAAAACACATGTGCATGAGAATGATCATGTGCCGACATAGATTAGAAAAAATAAGCAATGAGTCATAGAATGGAAAATCCATGAGGTTTTAGTTATATGGGTGATAAATTTCTCTATCATTATATCATTATATCCACTCACGTTACATGCATATCATCCACTAGGCTTTCAAATACAATGTTTTACTTTTAAAAAGTAACTGTGCACAAATCACTATCATACAGGATTTGTGAAACATCTTTAAGTGATGTGCATGAATTTCATCTGCACTCATGACTTGTAAAAATCTGTCCATCTCAAATTGAGCCCATTCTTTGCACCGATTTTCTTGGTCCAAAAGATGGAATCTCCCACCCCAGGAGTCCCCCATACCTCGATCCAACAGGATGTTAAGGATGTTGACTCAGTCGGCTCAATGATGGTAGGTCTTTTCCCGTGCGCACCAGAGGCCCAACCTTATTTCAGGTTCTATGACCTCCACACGGCCGCTGCGGGTTTCGAACCTTGCACCGTTTTTCTTGAATCACTCTGAAGTAACATAACTAGCGCAATTCTGTGAGTGGGTTTGATTATCATGAATGTGTCTTCCTTCTGTCTATGGATCTGATCTATCAACACTATTGCCCCATACCCTGCTAAAAGCTATAATCCGGTGTTTACCTTTTCCATTACATTTCAAAATCAATTTTTGCTCAAACACTATCAACCTTTATTATCAGGCACTCTTTTTAAAATAAATTTAAAATTTGATTTTTTGAAGCAAAAGCAATTGAAAACACTCTCTAAGTTTGTGGTCATGATTATTTTGGAAATACACAACAAAGATATTTTTTTCCACTCCTGTATAGTCCTCAAGGATCACAACTTTTGAACTATATCACAGCTAGAATTCTGAGGGTGATGACGCAAATGAATGCATTGAATCACTGATAGTATTTATGCATAAGAATTGTGAAACGAAACTAATTGGTCAGCATTTGATATAGAGGTTCTGCCAAAAATGTAATATGACTATGCTTAAATTATCAATGGAAATATCATTTAGTTCTTGATTATTAATAATTTTGCAGCACATAATGGGTTACAGTTATGAAGATTCTAACGCATGTTTGTACATTGAAATGTGCAAGGATTGTTGTGATGCTTCGTTACATTTTGTTCTCGTGAATATGTAGTATTTGGTTTTATTATTTGGAGTTCCAATGTGTAAATATTGTAATAATTAGATATATGGCAGATTTAGGACATGCATTGTTCAAGACCAGACTCCAGGTACGCTGCTTTACACATAATCTATTTTGCTTTTTTTCTGTCGTTACACGAACAAACTCCTCAACATGTGCTGTGATTTATTCCATTACATAATGTATCAATTACACAACATTATTTAAAACCTTTTGAAAAGAAAAACGGCCTATTTGGTTAAAGAAAATCTAATATAGAATTATGTGTTTCCTGTTTCCCTTTGGTTTAGCAATAGAACCAAGACATTCTTCATCTAGAGTAGTTTCCAATATTCAGTGTTAACTGAATGTTGTACATAATGGACGTATTAGCAGAAAAGCATAGAGTAGTATGTGAGCGGTACAACCACTTGAAAAGAAATTTGCATACCTATAGAATGCATATTAGAAACCATATTATAAGTCCACACATGTAGGATACACATTATGTACTACTTAAAACGAATACTTTATATTGAAATATATAATAAGGTTACATGGATGACACTCTTTATTGGCCGAGTGCAAGCCCCAAACAAAACCCAAAAAGCAAAGAGGAAATTGTCCATAATAAGACCCTTTCATACACTTTTGACCAAAAGAGGACCAGATTACATTTATTACTTCCCTATACTTAACTCACTCCTAATTTAGGAAACTTAAAATTAAGTTTCCTAAAATACCCTCTTCCTTATATTCCTTTTTATTGCCGCTAACGAATTAACCGCCCTACTTCGTTCGTTCTTCAAGCTGCGTCTTCAATGAAGCTCGTTCTTCAATTCCGAATTAACCGCCGCCTTCTACCGTGCATCAGAAATTCGAAATCGATTTTCATCAATTTGGATCATAATCTTCATTCGCTCCATGAGTAATCATCTTCTACAAAATTTCTAGTAAGTTTCATCATAAATCCTTGATCGTTCCTGTTGCGAATTTTCTGCTGCAAATTCCGATTAAGTTTCATCAGAATTCGTTGATCGTTCATTCTGATTACATTTTTTAGTTCGCTATCTTGTAGTTTTAGTTTGTTTATGACTTCTGTCATTAAATTTCCTTCATAATCTCACATTTTTTAGTTCGCTATCTGTACAGCACTTCGAATTTTTTGTCTTTGTTTCATCACTTTTGTATGTTGTACTTCGACATTCTTCTGCATCAATACCTTTTGATCTTCAATATGTTGATTAGTTTACTGTTTTTGTTCTTATAAGTCTGACTTTAATTTAGTTCTGTGTTGTGTTCTTATACCTTTCACTTACAACTTATTACTATTTTGTTACTGCTTGTGTTATTATTTGTTTTTGCATTTCTTTATTCAGACATAAATATATTATATATGGATCTATTTTCTAATCACACAGTTACATATTCACATGATTGTATTATGTGATGAACTTTGTATTTGAATTTATTTCTCTGTATTTTTCCAGATTAAAATGTTGCTTATGTTAAAGGTGGATGGAAGTTGGAATGATTCCCACGTTTTCTGTAATAAAAGAACTTGTGGTCTCATAGTTCCGGATGAGACATTGTATATTCGATTTATTGCTTTGGTCTATTCATGCATTGGTGCTTTTGCTGCGAATGAACGGATCAAAATTACTTATTTGGTTGAAGAATGTCCTCCTCCAGTGGTTGTTAATGATGATTACAGTTTGTGCTTTTATTTGGCTCTTAAAAAATCACAACCTGAATATGCCAAGTATCCTTTGTGTGTTGAGTTATTTCCACTCTCTGTTTCTACTGCTTCCCACTTCTCTTCACAACTTCCTGCATTTGATTTAAATGTGGCTGCAAATGGTGAATTTGATGATCTTGAAGACACTTCTATCATGCATCATCACACATTTGATATTTCTTCTCCTCAAACTGAAGATATGTCTTTGGATATGTATGCTACGAATGATGATAATTCAGTTCAGTGTGATGATACAAATCCATTACCTACACACATTTCTGGTTCTAGCAATGCAGTTTCTTCACCTACATCTTCAGGCAGTGAAGATCTTGCTGTTAATGAATACTTTGATTTAGACCATTTTCATGATTTTCAAGATATTCATGTAATTTGTCACTTTCATCCTACTTGTATTGCTAAAGATGCTATCTATCAGGATAAGAAATCATTAGCCCATCATTTGAAGATGTATGCCATTTTAAATCTTTTCCAATATCAAACAAGGACATCAACTAGAAAAGTCTTACATGTTGTTTGTGTTGATGATGAGAATTGTGATTGGGTTGTACGTGCAGTGAGGTTGAGTGGATGTCAAATGTTTCAAATAAGAAGGTAATTTATTCATTTATGTTACTCAACTGAACATTTACAATCTGATTTTGTACTATTTTTAAGTTATTGTCTAATCATTGCCTTTTTAATGACTACTTAATGTTATACAACTTCCAGATTTGATTCTGTGCATACATGCTCACTTGATGTGAGACAAGGTCCCCACCGCCAAGCTACCACAGAAATTATTGCTGAACTCATCAAACACAGATATGCGGATGCATCTAGAAAACCTTATGCTCCGAAAGACATTATTGTTGATTTAAATAGAGATTATGGTTTGACTATACCTTACAAGAAAGCTTGGCTTGCAAACAAGAAAGCTCAAGAAAAGTTGATGGGTTCAAATGAGCAATCATATCAATTGTTACCCTCCATTGCTTATGTTCTTAGAAAGAAGCATCCTGGTTCATTGATTTTGTTAGATGTTGGGGCACATAATCGGTTCAAGTCTTTCTTCATGTCGTTGGATGCATGGATTCAAGGCTGGAAGCATTGTGTTCCGGTTCTTATAATTGATGGCTCATTTATGAAAGCGTATTACAAGGGTACTCTATTGACTGCATGTGCTCAAGATTCTAACAACCAGATTTTCCCTTTGGCTTTTGGTGTGTGTGATACTGAGCGAAGGAAAACATGGACTTGGTTTTTTATGAAACTGAAGGAGTGTCTTTCATATAGGGAGGACTTGTATATTGTTTCAGATCGTCACGATGGTATTATACATGCAGCAAAAGTGGTGTTTCCGCATGATGAACATGGCTACTGTGCGTACCATATCCTAGGAAATATTAGATCAAAGTTCAAGGGCTCTACTACAGGTCTTGAATGGAAGTTTAATCAAGCTGCTAGGGCTGCCACTCCTACTCAATTTGAAGAGTATATGGCTTTATTAAATGCAGAAGATCCTCGTATCCGTGATTATTTGAATGAAATAGGTGTTGAGAAATGGGCTCGCTGTTTTGCTACTCGTTCTAGGTATTCTATAATGACATCTAACAACGCCGAGTCAGTGAATTCAGTGGACCGTGTGCCTCGTGAGTATCCTATAGCAAAACTGATAGACTTCTTGCAGGGAAGGATGCAAAAATGGTTTTGTGAACGTCGTGATTTTTCATCAAGTTGTAAAACAATTCTGTCTGCCCATTTTGAATCTCAACTTCGTTCTTATCATGCTGAGGCAGCTCTTATGAGTGTAAGTGTCAACTTCGTTCTTACCTTCTGCCTTTTAGTGCATTGTTATCTTTTTGTTCTTATCATCTTTCTACACTAATGCTTTAATTGTAACTACTGTTAACAATTTTTTCCTTGTTTTAGGTCAATCCTGCTAGTCAATATGAATTTGAAGTGGTGGACAAAACATCGAGAAGCTTTGTTGTTAATTTGAAAGACAAGACATGCTCATGTTGTGAATTTCAACTTGATCACTTTATATGTGTACATGGAGTTGCGGTTGTAGGTCATCGTCGAGGTTTATCGTGCTATGATTACATCTCAAAGTTTTATTTCACACGTGAGTGGGTTGCTGCTTATATAGGCGAAGTTAACCCTCTTGGTTCTCGTTGTGATTGGGGTGTTCCTGCCTCTGTGGCATCTGAAATCTGCAAGCCACCTGCGTGCCTCACACGCCAACCGGGTAAACCTAAGAAGAAGCGTATTCCTTCAATTGGAGAGTTTGGTTCCAAGCAGCGGTGTACACGGTGTAAGAAAGGCGGCCACAATAAGAAGTCTTGCAGAAATCCTATCCCAGTCTGTGCTTCATAGTTTTTTGTTCTTTTGTTATTCATACTGACTTTATTGATTGTTAAAATGCAACCAAGTTGTTGCTGTGATGAACATTATTGTCTACTTATGTACTACGTAATGTCTACACGAAGACCATAATTACACTCTTTGTTAGTGAATCTTTAAAAGTGACATTTGTAATTATATCTTGCGTTTTGTCTTTCTTCTTTACTAGTATGATTCAACTATCACAGACCTTACTTTTGCATGGACACTAAAATTAGTTACACACATAACTGAACAATAGCACCAAGGAAGTTCACTATTGTGTTATTGTAAGCTTCTTCCTCACATGTTCAACAATCTTCATAGCTGGATGGTATTATGAGACATCATGAAGAATATTCTTGTGTAAGATTTTTGAGAAATCAAATACTCAGAAAATAAATGTCATTGAAATGTAACGTATATGACTTGAAGTTTTAATGTGTAGAACTGAGATATTAATGACTAATTACTGTCCAAATATGGACTTTATGAAATACTTTAACCAGATTTCGCAAAACAACTTCACATTAAAAAGAGGCTAAAAGCGAACAAGCATCACGTATGTTGCTAAACATGTAGATTACACATAGTCAAACCAATTGTCTTGAATACTTAGTAACAATACTTAATGACCAAAACAAAGAAATTTCAGAAATATTTATGTTCCCAACAAAATACTTATTACAAAGCATCTAGTCCAACTACTGCCTTCGTGATGCATACATCAGTAGCTCTGTCGTCATCTTTTGTCGGTACATCTCTATGTCTTGCTTTGAAACTTCACTCACATCTTTGTCCATCATGAGAAACTCAGCAAATTTGATGATAAAGACACCACAATTGCCCCTGTAAATGCATAAGTATTCAATATGAAGTTAAACATTTATGATGTATTCATATATGTGAAGAATAGTTAAATTATAACATGACGTACCCATCATCTTGTTGTGGACAATTACGGACTATATCTACACGAATTTTTCCCTTTCCGATTTGTGCATTCGGTCTTTTATCATAAACTCCCAACCTCTCCATTACTCTTGGTAAGAAGGTCTCCAAGCAAGGAAGGAATGCCCTCATCGTTGCCAAGGAATCTCCTCTTCTCTTTAGGGAGTCATAGACTCTGATACGTTTTCCATTAATGTCCAACACCAAGAGTATCCGGTGCATCCCTATGTTCAGTGGCATGTATACAAAGTCAGCTTCTTCCCATGGCAGCCCATTTGATCCAAGCATTGTGTTCATTACGTTTCTATTAGAAGCTGCCTCAGTCATTGTTATTTTGTCATTAGTGACCATTTCACACTTCAACTTCATCACCCCAATAAATAATGGGTCTGTTGTGGCATATTTTTGCTTGATTTGGTATTGTTTTCTTTTCACCGCCAGGTAATAAAATGCCACTGCAATATGCTGAAAAAAGTAACAAAATCAATTAATTATTGATTTGTATGCATCATATTATTATAATTTACATGTGACATATGTTGATATAAATTTACGATGTCAGACAACCAACGTTCATTTGTGAAGAGGTCATAAATCCATGTCTTTGTTGGTATGGTGAAATGATCTAATTGTATACCAAACTTGCATTCAACTAGTTCTTCATGTTTTCTTTTGTACTTTTTGGGGACATTACTTGAATGGTTTTTTACCATGCCCTCCATCACAAATTCTTTTACCTTATCCAAGTCCTCTGTCGGTGGCATTTGCTTTGGATCCTCACTGAATGGTCCTTCAACTGTACTCTTCTCAGAAACTTGTGTTTCATTTTTTTTTTAATGCCTTTTCCATTTTCCTTTTCTTCATTTCTGTTGTGGGGTTAGGAGTGTATCTATCAGGACTCCTAGCAGCCCTTTTTGACCTTTTAATGCCCTTATCTTCTTCTGCAATTTGAACTTTATGTCCAGCCTATGCATTTACAACTTCCTCATCAGTTCAAAAATTCACTTTATCAATCATGTTGTCTATTCTACTTTCATTTTGAACTTTTGAAATTTAAAGTAACTACTTACCTTATCTTTAGAATTGTGAGCATCCATGTTCTCTTGTTGTCTTTTCTCTTTATTTCTTTCATCACATTTATGTGATTCACTGTCTGCTTCAATGTTCTGTTCTCCATCTTGTTCAGGAGTTGTTGTTTCTTTTGAATCACCAGCATCAACAGTCATTGCTTCATCTTCCTATAATAACATAATAAAAAATGGTCAAGTCAATCATTACATAAATAAATTTATTACACAAATAGCAATTACCTTTGTTTGCTTCAAGTCCTTAATGACATTATGAATGGCGCTGTCAACATGCATTTCCAACTCTTGTGTGTTTATGCTTGCTTGAGCAGGAATGAGTATCATGTCATCTTCATAGATTGCTGAATTCTCTTTTTGGGCACATATGGGATTTGCATCCTCACTTCGAAGTTCTTTCTTATCCTCAATGTCTAGACCTTCAGCCATCTCACTGCCTATACCACCTTCTGCCTCCTCACTTCCTAGACCTTCTGCCTCCTCACTTCCTAGACCTTCCGCATCATCCTCACCGCCTAGAGCAGCTTCATTATTTTCTATTGTTCTTTCCTTCTCTTTTTGTGTTAGATCAAGATGTAGGTCAAAACTTGGCATATCTGAGACCAAAATTGATTTATCTATTCCTCCTTCTGATGCTTCATGAATCTGCACATGGATTTCTTCTTCGCTTTTTTCACCTTCTGCATTTCCAGTGCTTTTAAGCATTAAATCTTTCAGCATCTTTGCATGCTGCTTTTGCCCTTTCAGAACTTCTTGTATTCCATCTTCTATTGTTTTCATTCTTCTCTCAAACTTTTGCATCTTCTTTGATTAGAGCACCACTGCAGCCATTATGTTACGCATGATTGTTGCATCTCTGCTTTGGTTGCCAACATTTTTTTTCTTTTAATCAAACTATTTAACCTCTTTAATCCAATTGCAGTTGGACCCTTGGCAATTTGTTCCTTCAATTCAGTATCTTCTTCATTAGGGCAATCAATCTGTGCTGCTTCAAACTCCTTTTCATGAACATCCCCATTTTCTTCTTTACTCCCTTCCACAGAAACATTTCTTTTCTGTTTTGCTAGCCCACATTTCAAAGTAAGACGACCTGTTCTGACAGGCTTATTGACCTTGTTTGCATAAGAAGCATTTATCAATGGATTCTTAAGCTCGTCTTCAGTTGGTACCATTTTCTTATATTCAAACTGCAGTACAAAAAGAAATTATGCATACAATTAGTTAGTGCACATCATAAAGCATGAATTTAAATTACATATAACACAGACATTAAAAACAATTTTACCTCTTCATTCAGAAATATGACATCTGCTAGTGTTGCAACATTATTTTTCTTCGGTGCAGACCACTTCAGCAATCTAGGAAACAAATCTTTCCTTTCTTCCTCTAACTGGCAAACATGTGCCGTTCTAAGAGCTGGGAAACTTTCAAATGCCCATATTTGCAATGCAAAGACAAAACCTGGAAATGTGAATCTGTCTTTTGTGGCCCTTTTAATATTTTCTGTCCACTTAGGCACTTTTTCCAATAAATCTTCCCAGATTTCATCTCCCCAAGGGTACTGGTTCACTAAATCAAGATTATCTACCATGTTGATGTAGATTGCTGGGCATTTCACTGTCTTTTGGTTTTCAATTATGTAATTGGAAATCACGTCAAGAATAGCCAGTTTTACCCTATCTAAGGGCTGCTTCTCTACAGGTATATTATCGAACTCCTCAAAAGCTCTGCTTATGTCGGCCCTTGTAACATTACTTCTTCCATTGAAAAACCTTCTCCATATGTCACCTATTACATTTGTGGGTATTATTGGTTTCTCTCCTCCCATCTTGAACCCCGTTATTAATGCCAGTTGTTCCTTTCTAAAAGCTACCAACCTATTTCCTATATTAAAGTAAATTCGGTCTTTCCAAGTCTTCTTGTTAACCTTTTTGACATGGTTTTCTACAAGCAGAACAAGCAGTTGTCCATTCATCCACTCTAGGTTACCTATTTCCAGCAATCCACCAAATGTGCTTTTTCTGAATTCTTCAAGTTGGTCATCCTTTAATAGCTTCCTTATGGTTTCAGTGGCAGTATGTACATTTGAATAACAGTTTAACTTTAACTTCTTCTTCGTCATAAGAACAGGGTTTGTGCAAGATCTAACAATTGCCTGACATTTTAGTATTAATAATTTCTATAAGTACTATAATCATAAGGCATAATTGGATAACAATACTCAATTTATAAATTTGAATTTACTATCTTATAGCACAACTCATATATTGTGTAATCTAACATCAAATGCTTCATATCTTAAGTCATATGAAATTAATGATATGTTAACTGTTGCAAGCATGTATGGACAAAATCAAATAAGGTATAAAAAATATTCAGTATTTATAACATGATTAACAATATCTCATGTATATACTGTCTACCAACTACACACATAGTGAGGGGTCTATATACAGCCTACTAAGTTAAGTCATATAATTCCTCACATATCTACCTCTCTGTCCTTTTTTATTCATTTCTTATATAATAAAATATGATATATGTAAGACAAGTAGTCACTAAGAGAAATACTCATACAATCAATGGAAATTTATACAAATAGGACCAAATCTATTACTGACTACAAATAGGAACTAATTACATTTGGTCAAATATGAAGTAAACAGTAAGAGAAGTAGATAATTTGGTCAAATAAAAGTAGTCATATAATAATTTTCAATAACTTACACATTTATTGACAATTTCATATGAGAAGTAAACAGTAAGAGAAGTAGATAATTTCAGTTGCATATTTCATCATAATCTCCCAAAATTGAATCGAACAACTTACTTCACCAGACGGAAGAACAATTTCAACGTTTCAATGTTTTGTGCCTTTGATTTGTTAGGGCTCCTTGTTTCGAAATCACTGTCAGATTGACCTTGTTCAACTTCTTCAGTTTTTTCAACGTGTTGAGCCTCTGATTTCTTCTTTCTCTTCGCCATTCGTTTGACTTCACTGACTTCGTCGCCTGTAGTAATCACGCGGCGTTGCCCGGCGTTGCTCTGAAGGAGAAGGTTGAAGT